TGGACTTGTAACCAGTGCACTCCCTCCACTCCAGGGTGTTTCTGCTTTACTAGTACTTGCTCTGGAGACTCATGGCACAGAATACAGCCGAAGTGAGGCACGGCATACATTTCAGCAGTAAAGATGCCTGGCATAGGGATGGCAGAGAGTAAGGGCTGTGCCGAGTGGCAGTACGCAACCAGATGCTCTCCCAAGACAGTAAGTACACGAAACTACCTAGAACTTGGGAAACGGGCCTTCCCCAGAGGAAGTCATCTCAGTCATCATCACCCCCGAGCACGGTTCCCCAGCAGCAAGCACTGGGCGTACTCTCAGGACAACGTTCATCTCACAGCGGAAGAACGTGTCTCCTTCCTGCTGGCGGGCCACAGCAGCGCCGTCCTGCTCTGGGCGCCGGACACGCCTCGAAGGTCCTCTTTCCGTCTCATTAGCTCATCCAGTGCGTTGTCAGAAACGAATAGAAAGAAAAATCTGTGATGTGTGTGATGGAATTTAATTCCACTACCGGACCCTATAGAAATGGATTTAATACCAATGAGGGGCCGATGCTGGGGTGACTGGGAAAAGGAAGTGGAGGGAGAGCCAGGAAGGCTGCAGGGTGTTAGTGACTGCGCCGTGGCTGCGTCAGCCCTTCACAGGGTGTGTGGTCTGATCCCAACACGGGTTATAAGTGGTACAGGAGGCAGGCCCTGGGCTTCCCTGGAACTCCAGCCTCATCCAGTGCCTGACACACAGAGATGGGTAGTAAAGAAGTGCTTGTGGGTGGGGTAGTGTGGGCGAGCAGAGAACACCTGCTCAGAGGAAGAGCTGGAAATAAGACAGGTGGGTCCAAGCGGTCAGCTGGCACAGAGCTGCAAGGGCAGCAGCTTGTCTGGGAACAAAACTCCGCAGGGGCTGAGGCCGACAGGGCCTGTGAAGGCCGGCAGGAAAGAAGTGGACGATCAAACCGGGTAGTGTGTAGCCCAGTGGTTCTCAACCTTCCTAATGCCGCGACCCTTTAATACAGTTCCTCATGTTGTGGTGACCCCCAATTTCATGGTTACAAATTGAACATAATTAAAGCATAGTGATTAACCACAAAAACAATATGTAATTATATATGTGTTTTCCGATGGTCTTAGGCGACCCCTGTGAAAGGGTCGTTCGACCCCCAAAGGGGTCGCGACCCACAGGTTGAGAACCGCTGGTGTAGCCACTTCCAGCAGAAGCACGAATTGAACACGGACAGCGATGCCATCTGCAGCTCTGGGACGAAACCTCCAGGGACCAGATGAAGGGTCAGACCAGGGGTGAGGAATGTCTTTAATGAGGAATCACTGATCATTAAAATAATTCAACTGAGGGTGATGTTTAAAGTCACCTAATTTTAAGTTTGACGGGTGAATGAATTATGGGGGGTGGGAGGGTAGCTAGGGAGTTTGGAAAAAAATACAAAACACGTTCCTCTTTTAATGAGGAAAATAAGAAACAGCATTAATGAATAGAATTAATAAACATGTATTTCAAACACACAGAAACCAAAATCGAGACACATGGAGACAGGCAGGGGGGACACCTGTCAGCTAGCCACCCTGCGGGCTCCGATGAGCCACACTCCCCTCTGGTGAGCCCCGTCCTGGGTCTGCCTGCAACAATGGGTGTCCCCTCTGGCACTCCCCTCCGTCTCCATTGTACAAGAACTGAAGTGCTCTCTAGTCAAGGGGAACTGCTCACACTTACAATTGTCTCTCGCAGCCTAAATGGCATTTAAAATAAGTGCTGTGAATTGATGAAATGACCAATTATGTTAACTACCCATGCCTGGTGTAATCCAAACCAAATCTTACCCCATTATCCTCAAAACTGCGAGGTGACTCAGCAGGCCCTCCTGCCAGCGATTCTGCAAGAACCAAAACACACAGGCCGCCCTCGAGTAGGACCTCGAGTACTTCAGTTAATTCTTGCAATTGGTTTTTGTGCTGGAAAATAAAATAACCGTACCACATTTCTCCTCCACAGCGTACACACCACACACTGCCAGACAACACTGCTGCCATTATGCCATTTTGTCCCACTCATTCCATTATCCCCTCTTCTCTGTATCCCATTATTCTCTTCAAACACCTCTCGGTGGGTGTGATGTCATCCCAAAGTGCCCGAGTCCCTCGTTACCCGCACCTGCCCCATGACAACCCCGTGGCTATGATGCTCTCGGGATCCTCTCGTGCCTGCGTACTCTTGCTGTGGCCCCTTCTTGCAATGCTTTTTTCCATTTCCAAGGCCCCCATTTATCCATTTTTTAAGACTTCACTCAAGTGTCAACTCTCCCAAGAAGTGACAGCCCCTCTGCTCCCATCCCCCTGACAAAAGCAAGTGGGTCCTCTACACGATGTGACTTGTCCGCTTCCTTAGCTGCTCTGCATTCTAGTAGCCTCAGCCCCAGGATCACTCCGCCCAGCAGGGCCTCCCCATGCAGCTGGTTCAGCCAGCTCTGCTCCAATGGGGTCCACAGCCAGGCTGGGCTTCTGCTGGCTGGTCCCTGGGCCTGTGTCACCCGATAAAACAGTGGTTCTCAACCTTCCTAATGCCGCGACCCTTTAATACAGTTCCTCATGTTGTGGTGACCCCCAATTTCATTGTTATAAATTGAACATAATTAAAGCATAGTGATTAATCACAAAAAAATATGTAATTATATATGTGTTTTCCGATGGTCTTAGGTGACCCCTGTGAAAGGGTCGTTCGACCCCCAAAGGGGTCGCGACCCACAGGTTGAGAACCGCTGCGATAGAAGTTTCGTTTTCTATCCCACTTCCCAAAACTGGGCTCTTTAGGGAGCCCTGCTCACCTGCAACCCACTCCCTGTGGCTGGAACCTGTTAACAGAGTTCTTGCCTATAATCTGATGTCTAGAAAAACGTCCTCCTGCTTGTTCCAGGGAAAAAGAAGGTATGTGTGCATATTTTTGAAATGTAAAGTACAAAGATGAGAAAGCAAGCATAAGTTAGGGCGTTTTCCTCTACCTGAGTCTAACCTGACCCTTCCGCTGGTAGGACAGGGAAGCCCCCTTCTTCATACACTGTTACCTTTTTGCAAAACTTTTGCTTGTGGGCTTCAGCGAGTTCTTGATGAGCCCATACCACCCACCAAAGAAACATAGAAATATTAATTAGGATAGTTCGAAAAACCTTGTCACAATAAGTGTCTGGAGAACTCTATAGACAGAGCTAGCAAATGAAGAAGAAATAGCACAGAAAAACAAAGTTGACAAATCCCGGCCCACACTCCCAAAGTCTCTCCAAGATCCTTCTGATTTTCACATGTACAAAGAAATAAATGGGCTGCACCGAATTGGATGTGGCTTCAATGAGCATCTGACTTACGTCATAATTTCATTCTCAATGCCTCGAGTAATTAGGATTGTTAACCCTATCAGGACAAGAAAAAAGGTCTCCCACCCACGAGACAGACTCTCAGCCAAACCACTCAACTTCAGAAACCTTATCAATGTTTATCCTCAGGCTTTTGCTTGAAACAACCCAAAAATAAGGTGCTTAGAGCAAATCTTACCTAATGTGAAACTCAATGAATAAAAATCCTATAAGAAAATGCTCTAAGTAAATTAAACCCCTTTTCTGAAAATAATTCAAACACCAGTGATATTCATTGCTATAGATCTAGAGGGAAAGGGAGGATACACAGCCCTTTGAAATTCCCTGGAAGAAAGCCAAAGGCTCATCAAGGTCGATTTCCATATATACCATCTAAAGGGGGAACAGAGGAGATTTTTTAAAAATTATGTATTAATTTCTGAAAGCGGGGGGAGTTCCCCTTTTTTCTTAATTAGGATGTCTATGGTGGTCATTAAAATTAGCATTACTCAAACCTGCCTGCCTAAATTTCACCCTGTACCAAGCAAAAATGCAAAGACATTCTTAAGTTCCCAATTTCACAGGCTATTAGAACGACAATATGCAATTGCATAGCCTATAAAACAACGACAAACATGTGACATCATTCAAAACTGTTTGAGCTACTCCAGAAACCTGAAGATAAACGTCACTCTTCTTAGCCACGTTCATATTCACCCACATGGCCAGCCCTCAGTGTGTACGTTTAAAGAAAAGAGGCTTAAACCAACCAAACAGGTCTAAACCAACCAAAATGCACTGGAATGCCTCACCTTAAGCCCAGTACAGTTCTAAACCTCTTGGTCCAACCAAATCCACCTGATTTGGGCCCGCTGTGCCACTCTGACACCTGGCCAGTCAACAGAGGCTGGTGGCCTGAGGAGCCAGCCAATTCCAGCTGATCTATAGAGCAGATATCCAAAACAGCAATCACCCAAAAGTACTTTCTAGAAGTATTTAGCATGCATCTTATTGCTATTTTAAACCATTTATTCTTCTTTAACTTTGGCTATTTCCAAAGAAATTTAATTGCAAAAGTCGAGATGAAAGTTTGAATTCCTCGGGCACACTGCATGGCAACTTGGCACAGCAGCTGATCGTGGGCTGGTCAGCAGGAAGGCTGTCCCCCTGCAAATGATGCTTGCAGGGACAAGGGGTGTTTGAACTCTGAGCCTCAGAACTAACCACAGTCACCCATCCAGGTACATGTGGATGTTAGGGGTCAGCCAGGAATACATGGCGCTCCACGGTGAACAAATTGCCAACAGACACCCAAAACATCCGGGGCACTGAAAATACGCAACGGGGTTGGATTTTACCAGCCTGGTTGATGCTATTGTCACATCCAAACTGCCGCGTGATTCCAAGTTCACCAAAGCAAGCCAAGCACGTCTAGAATAGGACCAGTAACGACAGACCAAAAGGAGCAGTCCTGGTTTCAGACTAGCAATTCACAGCAACCAGAAGATGTGAGAAGGAAGAAATGACAGACCCGACCCACAGCAGTCACACTTCTCCAGTGCCCACTCCTCAATAGGACAGAACTCTGCTGGTTGGCACCAGAAGAGATGGGGGGGAAGGGGGAAGGGACCGGGTGCTTGTAGAGACCTACCTTGTAGAAGGGCTCCATTTCTCTTGAAGAAGGTACTGCCCGGCCAGATGGGTGGACCTGATGTGCTGAAACAGAAAAGAAAGCAGCGTAAGGATGGGCTCATTTACACCCACTCACCTATACTCTGAGCAACCCATGCTCTGAACATGTCACTCAAAATGGCCTCAAAACGCTTTCCCAATTATGCATTACTAGAGGCCTGGTACACGAATTCATGCACAGGTGGGATCCCTTGGCATGGCTGGCGATGGAGGCCTATGGCGGGGGGGTGGGGGGCAGCCGGCCAGGGGGAGGGACCCCGGGAGGTTGGCTGGGCTGGGGGGAAGGGAGGGAGGCCACAGGAGATTGGCTGTGGGAGTGCACTGAGCACCAAGGGGCAGCTCCTGCGTTGAGCGTCTGCCCCCTGGTGCAGTGCACATCATAGCAACTGGTTGACCAGTTGTTCCAATCATTCGGTCTTACCGGTTGCTTAGGCTTTTATATAAATAGATTTATAACCTCTGAAAATGCAACTTTAAAAACCATTACTTTTGTTTTATGATGAATGGGCTTCATCTTTCACAGTGCAGAAACAGTCCATGTGGAATTGGGGTTACCATCTGGACCCTGCTACCTTCTGGGCATTGGAATTATTTGCAGATAAACAAAATGGCAAATTCACACAGTTCAACGTCATAGCTTATAACTTTTGCTAACTTGTTCTTGGTTTTATGATTTTATGTGGCAAAGAACTTCTATCCCTGCCTGAGACCAGGTGGGTTTTCCAACACTTCCTGGTGCCACCTGCCTATTTATAAATGCAAACCTGCCTCTCTTGGCTTTCCCACCATCAAATCCTTAATATACAGACATGACCTTGATCGACTCTCTCCCTCCCCTACCTTCTTGTTTCGCATCCTGTTTTCAATTTCTTGGCTTAAAATGTTGCACTCCATCCCCTATAATACATTTTTCAAATGTCACCACCCACAGTCTGGTAACAAGAGAGGCAAGAAAATAAGGAAGATCAATATATCACAAAGACACTTTACTGCATTTATAGACAAGCATGTTCACTGTTTTAAAATACCCAGTGAAAAACTTTATAACCGAGCCTGCCTGAATGAAATATCCTTGGAGTGGAAAGCAGGTTATTCTAAATCAAGCAGTGAATGTTAGAAAGCACTTAGTAAAAAAAAAAAAAAAAAAAAAAAAAAAGTTACTACATCCAGCCCAAGAGGCAGCATAAGCTACTTTCAGCAAAATAGTTCATGGCAGCTGAACTGGTTTGGCTCAGTGGATAGAGCGTCGGCCTGCGGACTGAGGGGTCCCAGGTTCGATTCCGCTCGGGGGCATGTATCTTGGTTGCGGGCACATCCCCACTGGGGGGCGTGCAGGAGGAAGCTGATCGATCTCTCTCATAGATGTTTCTAACTCTCTATTCCTCTCCTTCTCTGTAAAAAATCAATAAAATATATTTTAAAAAAAATAGTTCATGGCAAATGATACTGGCTAACGCATCATCAATCACCTTCAACATTAAAAAAATAAAAAGCTGGTCCGAATAACACATGTGTAAATTGGGCAGATGGACACACGCAGGGAGAATAAGAAATCTGAAGGGCTATACGACTGATGACTGCTTCACTGATGTCCAGGGTCCCTAGTAATGCAATACTGTTAACAAAAGGAGAAATGCCAGGGACACGTGCTGCTGATGGACACATCGTTACCAGAGGTACAAACAGTATCGCGGGTCCATGGACACATTCCATAATTGGGAAGTAGAAGGAGTAAAAGAGCGACAGCGCAAAAATACTATTCAACAGCAGATGACGTCAAGTGTGCTAGAAAACACATTGTAACCCGTGATGTACATGAACCTTTTTGTTCTACTGTGTTTGGATCCACTGTACTCAGACTGAACGGGAATAACCCAAATCCGTGATGGCTTTTCCTGCAACCCTGATCCCCCCAGCTCTGGCCATGGTGGCCTCCGGGTGGTCAGGAGTTGCCCAGGGCAACAGCAGACCTGGCTGGGGTCGCAGGGCTGTGGGATGATGGCAGAAAGCTGATTTCTCTTCTGTCTCATTCCTGGCCTATTCCGTTCTGAGGCTTTGCAGCTCCAAGTTGAATGAAGAATAATATGCACTAAAAGGCTTAAGATTATCTTTTAACAACCCCAGCCAGCTCCTGGGATTTCACCATAAGAAAGCAGGAAGCAGCAAGCTGGCTGTTGCCAATACTCAATCACCTGATTTCTAAAGATATTTAAAAACCGAGGACTTCATTATAGAGGAGTTGGTGCTTCAAGAGAATTCAATAATTGAGTATTACTGCAGGAGCCTGACTATCTACTTACTGCCACCCAAATCTCCTCTTTATCCTGACCTGGATTTGGCTGAGAACCGAGTAGATGCCAGCGATGGGGTAAATGGGGAAGCAAGGGCGGGTAAATCCAGTGGTTTAGATAAGGAAAATTCTCTATACCATAGAAATCTACTTAAAGGTTTCTACAACATCCTTTAAACGTAGCTAAGTCTCCAATCACTATTCCCGCTGCCCTGCTATGTGGTCTGTGTAATCTGTAGCCGAGTAATGGAGAGAGATTTGACTGGCCACCCACCTGCTCCGGCCTGGCCCCCATTGGGACTGATGAATTCACCTGTGGTCTTCCTCGCTCAAGGTAAACTGGTTCACGTCACACTCATTACAAAGCTTTTGAGCTCACTGGCCCCATATTCTACATTCTTTTTTTTTTGGATGGTCCCTCAAAATGACATCTTCTAACTATTAGCACATTCAAGGATGTATTAAGTGCTTACTGAGAACTGTGCTGGATGTTAAGAAGGACACAGGAAGTGAGGGAGGGGGATTAAAAGGCACCTTTTATGGCCTCCAGGAGTTTTACTGACATACTTACCTAGCTCCAACCTCCTAGGATTCTATCTAAAGGGACAGGAAATGCCCAGAGAAAGGTCAATGGTTACAGTCCCTGTGGCTGCAGGTTGGAGAAGCTGCAAACTGATTTTTTCCCTTGATGTGGAGTTGTTTCCAGTCCACTGGACTTTAAAGCTCAAAGTGAGCTTAAAAACATTATATGAAATTACTTAAAAGTGTGTGTCAAGCCCAGTAATTCAGAGAAGGCGCTGTGGTCAAGGTCTTCGTGGGAGAACCTGAGTCACCCTGGAAACCACCCATTCATGCGGCAAACCAAGAGAGGGGGGTGGGGGACTCTCCACTCAGTGCTAGGTGCTGGTGACTTGTATATGGTCCCTGCCACGACTTCTCTAGGACCTCTTCAATCTACCAAAGCGGGTTTCATTACCACACAATGGTGCTCATGTTGCTTGAAGCTGGGACTTTCCCAGGGAACCCTCCAAACCTGTGGGAGGGTAGGCAGGCAGGACTCACCTTCCTCCTTCTATAGACAAGGAGATAGAGGCCCTGAGGGGGGGAAGGGAATCACCCAAGTCATCTAGTGAGCAGCCCAAGACCACACCAGGGCTTGCGGGGCCAGCCCACTGTTCTGACACAAACACATCAACGGGCCGACTTCATTCCTCACCTCCGGCTTTCCTCTTCCAGTCTCCCCGCACTGAACTCCTAGCTATCGCTCTGCATGGAAGAAGGCTGTGGATGGAATTTCACCAAGACTCTCTCCAAGGCTGCCCAGCCAGTGTGGTCCAGTGGTTGAGCATCGACCCACGAACCAGGAGGTCAGGGTGCGATTCCCAGTCAAGGCACATGCCCGGGTTGTGGGCTTGACCCCCAGTAGGGAGCATGCAGGAGGCAGTGAGTAGATCAGTGATTCTCTACCATCATTGAATCATTGATGTTTCTCTCTCTCTCTTCCTCTCTCTCTCCCTCTCTGAGATCAATAAAAACATTAAAAAAAAAAATCTCTCTGAGGCAAAATCCCACGCTAGAAAAAGCAATCAGGCTAACCACATGTGAAACATGGCACTGGGCTCCTATTAGCAGAAACAATACAACACGGGGACACAAATGTCTCATTTCAATGAGGTGCTAACAAAATTCCAGGAACTTCAGCAACTAGAAGCCAAACCTGCTTTGTGACAAAGGAAGCCAACCAACGGGACCAGAAAGGCAGTTGTGAACTGGCATTTGAGAACATTGATCCAGCGGATCGTTAAGACCAGAGCTGAGCCAGCAAATCCCAAGAGACGAGTGGAATCGTCCTGAACAGCACACCCAGTGTCTGCCTGAGACTCACAGTCCACCGTCGCTCCCGGGGCTGCACACTCTCGGCTGCATGGCTTCGAACTCCCAACGGGACGCCGTGACTCAACAGGTCACGGACCCCTAAGGTGGCTCTTGGCATAACGATGGGATCTGTCACGTGTTTTCTCTACACCCGTGACCTTCACCACTGTGAGAATCGGCTGGACTATAACCAAGACCCTGGGAGGCTCTGGCACCACCCACACCTGTACACTCACCAGCCTGGAGTTTCTCTAAGTCTAATGAAAAGCAAATGAAGGCCCTAGCCAGTATGGCTCAGTGGATAGAGCACCAGCCTGCAGACTAAAGGGTCCTGGGTTTGATTCTGGTCAAAGGCACATGTGTGGGTTGTGGGCTCAATCCCCAGTAGGGGGCGTGCAGGAGGCAGCCGGCCAATGATTCTTTCTTCATTGACATTTCTCTCTCTCTCTCCCTCTTCCTTCCTCTCTGAAATCAATAAAAAAAACTTTTTGAAAAAATAAAGCAAATTAAGAAAAGTACTTTTTTTCTAAGCTGCCAAATGTGAATAGGTGTATCTAAAAGAAAGAACAGGATACAACATGATGAACCTCAAGGACACTGCGCTAAGTAAAATAAGCCAGACACAAAAGAACGAATCCTACATATATATGGTTCTATTTCTATGAGGTCCCTGGAGGAGTCAGGTTCACAGATAGAAAGTAAAATGGTGGTTTCCAGAGGCCGGAGGGAGCGGGGAAGTCATTGTTTAGTGGGTTCAAAGCTTCAGTTTTGCAAGGAACTGGCTGCACAGCTATGTGCATGTGCTTAATACTACGGATCCATACAATGGTTAAGATGGTTAACTGTAAATGGTTAAGAT